AAGGTGTGGAGCTACTTCCTGGTGAGCGACTTCTTGACTTGGAGTATGCGGATGATATTTCCCTAATCTGTGACAGTTCCCAAACATGCCAAACAGCACTGGACCGATTAGCACTGGCTGTCAATCGTTTTGGGCTATGCTTTGCTCCATCGAAATGCAAAGTACTTCTCCAAGATTGGCAGGGATCCAACCCTGCGCTAACGCTCAGTGGTGATCTGCTAGAAGTCGTTCAGGAATTTAAGTACCTGGTCAACTATATTAGCACCCGTGGGATTGAAGATGAGGCGACGAACCGTCTAGCAAAAATTGAGGTGTTTTTGCCAATCTCCGTCACCCGTGGCGCAGACGCGACATTACTCTCGCCCTGAAGGGCAGAGTTTACAACGTAGCCGTCCGTTCAACTCTCCTATATGGCTGTGAAACCTGGCCCATCAGGTCGACAGACATAAAGAGGCTCATCATATTCGATCATCGCTGTCTTCGCAGCTTAGCTCATGTCTGTTGGGAGCACCGCGTGAGCAATAACCGTGTTCGACGCTGCGTATTTGGTGCAGGAAGAGCGAGTGAACCGCTCAGCACCATTATATCACGCACCAAGCTCCGATGGCTGGGCCACGTTTTGCGCATGCCAGCACACCGACTCCCGCGACGTGCATTGTTTGCGCGTTGTGGGCGCGGTTGGAAGAGGAGGAGGGGAGGCCAAGTGATGACTTGGTCGAGAGAAATGAAAACCCTCACTTCGAAGTTGGCGTCGGTTGGTGCATCCCGACTGCCTGACTTGGGTCCTAAGGACGGTGAACACGTTCGGTTGGACACACTTGCTGATATGGCTTGTGTTGTGAGTTCCTTTGTCCATCCCCTCCTGTTTAGCATCCCCCTCCAATCATGATCTCACTTGGTAGGTATAATATGACTCTCTTTTGCGGCAGCCAGCTGTTAGCTCTCCGGAACGATGTCCATCCGTTACTGGGGACTCAGCGGGCGTGCCACTGTTTGTTTTCCTTTTCTTGTCTTTTGTATTGCGGCACAATAGCTGAGGTGTTTTCCACCTCCAGCTAACGTGTAATGCTGATGATTTGGTAATCCCTGTTCTCTGCTTGCATTTGGGCAAACTCTCTTGCTGGAAGAAAAAGGGTAGCAGCACACCAGTACGCAGTGTCGGCGCTTTCCTGAATTGAATATTGGTAGCTCGGGAGGCTTGCTCAGTTGTTGTGGAGTTCTGCAAGCTGGGCAACTTGGAGAACTCCACAACAACTGGGCGCTTCCCTGCCACGCGATCACTACAGTCGCCTATCTTGTGAAGCTACGGAACCTCAGTTGCCTATTATTTCTGCATACATGATACTGTAGGTCCCACAGTGACATCCGTCGCAACATCAGCATTAAGTATCAAGGATAATGATGTTGTTGGAAATCATAAGGATAATCCTTGTGGTATCGAGCGCAATACTACTAACTTATGCCCGCTGTCACCTTTCCTCTTCAACTTCGCTATTGACGAAGTCATGGAAACAGCGTTCGCTGGGCACGACCTAGATGGTGTGGAGCTACTTCCTGGTGAGCGACTTCTTGACTTGGAGTATGCGAACGATATTGCCCTAATCTGTGACAGCCTCCAAACATGCCAAAGAGCACTGGACCGATTAGCACTGGCTGTCAATCGTTTTGGGCTATGCTTTGCTCCATCGAAATGCAAAGTACTTCTCCAAGATTGGCAGGGACCCAACCCTGCGCTAACGCTTGGTGGTGATCTGGTAGAAGTCGTTCAGGAATTCAAGTACCTGGGCAGCTATATTAGCACCCGTGGGATTGAAGATGAGGTTACGAACCGCATAGCAAAAGCTCGAGGTGCTTTTGCCAATCTCCGCTACTTGTGTCGCAGACGCGACATTACTGTCGCCCTGAAAGGTAGAGTTTACAACGCAGCCGTCCGTTCAATTCTCTTATATGACTGTGAAACCTGGACCATCAGGTCGACTGACATGAAGAGACTCATCACATTCGATCATCGCTGCCTTCGCAGCTTAGCTCATGTCTGGTGGGAACACCGCGTGAGCAATGAGCGTGTTCGACGTCGCGTATTTGGTGCAGGCAGAGCGAGTGAACCGCTCAGCACCATTATATCACGCACCAGGCTCCGATGGCTGGGCCACTTGTTGCGCATGCCGGCACACCGACTCCCGCGACATGCATTGTTTGCGCGTTGTGGGCGCGGTTGGAAGAGGAGGAGGGGAGGCCAAGTGATGACTTGGTCGAGAGGAATGAAAACCCTCACTTCGAAGTAGGCGTCGGTTGGTGCATCCCGACTGCCTGATTTGGGTCCTAAGGACGGTGAACACGTTCGGTTGGACACACTTGCTGATATGGCTCGGAGCTGGCACCAATGGCGTTTGTGTTGTGATTTCCTTTGCCCATCCCCCTCCTGTTTAGCATCCCCCTCCAATCATGATCTCACTTGGTAGGTATAATATGACTCTCTTTTGCGGCAGCCAGCTGTTAGCTCTCCGGAACGATGTCCATCCGTTACTGGGGACTCAGCGGGCGTGCCACTGTTTGTTTTCCTTTTCTTGTCTTTTGTATTGCGGCACAATAGCTGAGGTGTATTCCAACTCCAGCTAACGTGTAATGATGATGATGATGATGACTACTAACTTAGTTGTCATACAGGTTAAACTAGAACGTGTGATATGATAGAAGATTGATGGGTCTAGCAGTCTTTAGGAATGGAGGGTACGGTGATAAACATCTTTTACAACGTTTTTAAGTGTTCTGTGCATTTTGTTGCATAGCGTTCGTTACGGGCGGCACAGTACACAAGAAGCACTATCTGGCCCGTGTAACGGGACACTTGTGACTCCTCATCGCTATTTGTGAGTTGTGTTGAGTTGCTCTGCAGAGTGCCGACTTGCCTTTTCGAATTGAAACGCGGCAGCTAGGGGAATAAATCGTATGGGCAGTATTCAATAACCATTTTAATCACATTTGGGCCTATTACAGCGGTATCAGTCTTACTGCAGGGCGTGACAAGGTCGTTTAACTTTAATCTGGTACACTGCTTGCGAATTATCTACCGCATCCCACAGATCATGGGATGAAAGGTCTTAAATTCTTCAGCTACACTCTGCGACACATCGTATGACACCTCGTTGTTTAATTTTCAGGCGTTCATCACGCGATTTTCGTCAGGTCACCTCCTACTCACCTCTTTCTACCAGCTTCCTTAACTTGTCTCCTTATCCTTTCTTTGTGCCCGATCATTTGAGTTGCCCAAGCGGTGCAGTGACGACTGTACTATGCGGTTAGTCGTGGATTCCGAAAGCTTTCGTATCCAGCATGTACGTAGGTTGTCATAGACCTGGGGAGCTGTAATGGGAAGCAACTACCTCGTAAGTGGCTGCATACTCATATCATAATCACAGTAAACTGAACGTGAAAGAGAAGTGGAAAAGTCAATGGTCGTCTACTCGAGGTACAACGATCTCCTTACCTTAGGGATCACCGCCAGGTCACGTCCGGTCTTGCTACATTCTTTCCCTGTTGACGCGCTGTCCTCCGCTTACAGTATCCCTAATCGATCTCGACCTGCTGATGTGAACAACTGATGAGTGCAGTATGCTCGGTTCGAGAGATTCCGCGACAAGCAGTATGGTCACAGGAGGGTTTATGATCGCTTCAAAGGGCTATGATCCAGCTTCAGGGACTGCTGTCGGGAGCAGGCAGGGTCGCTAAATGTGTAACATGCGTCTGGTCTACGATCTGTTGATATATAACACAACTGAGGCGCACAGTGTGCTAGATTCGCCATTCCAAAACTAGCAGTGTGATCGCTGGAAAGTTAATGAACGCTTCAAGAGCAACCATCTAGCTTCAGGGACTCCTGTCGGGAACTGGCAGGGTCGCCAAGAATGTACTGTGTTTGATCGTGGATTCCGAAGGATTTCCTCTTCAGCGTGTACGTATGTCGTAATGGACCTGAGGAGCTGCAACGGAATGCAATTACCTCGCCGGTGGCTGCACACTGATATCACAACCACCTATTAAAAGACCACAGTAAACCGAACGTGAAGGTAAAAAGAAGAGGAAGTATCAGTGGTGGTCTACTCGAGGTACAAGGATTTTCTTACCATAGGGCTCACCGCCTGGTCACGCCCGGTCCTGCCCCACGACCTTACAACAGGTCCTAGGCCAGCTTCTGGATTGGCGATTTTGGTGCTGCATGCCAGGTTGCAATATTCTGATTACACGGTTCACCATGCTTCCTCTGAAACCCGATCATTACGGTGTGCGAACTCGCACTTCTGTTACATCCGTTGATTTCCCCTACGCCTTTGATCCTACTAACTAACGATTATACCGTATTAGACCACTTCCATTTAAGCCTTATATATTATTTCCCGGTAGTGTTCAAGGACGTGGTGAGTTTTTGCGTGACAAACATTCTCCACATTAAAAGCCACACACTGCGACGTAGTGGATGTGACTCACCACTAAATAAAAGCAGTCCCTTGCTTCACTTCGGTGGAGCATTGCATTCCGACAACTTGAAGCTGAAATTGTGAGGAGAATTGGGCCCCTGTTTGTCAACCGACCAAATGAAAGATATGTGAATCGAGCAATCAGTCATCGGCTCCTAATGGGCGCGATTCCCTGAATTCGCTCCGCTGCCTAACGGGTAGGATATTTAGCTGATGGCTCAGGGTGGTGTCCTCTAAGTCAACACCTTATCTCGGCCTGAGCAACCGTGTAGTATCGTTCCCACTAAGGAAATCATGTATTTTATATGTTGTATTCGCTTTTCTTTTTATGACAACCCTACCTTCCAGTAATTTCCATGGTTTTGAATGGTTTTTTCCCATTCGTAAACCGTGTTCCGTGTGAGAGGTTGTACGCTTTTCTTGACATGCTGTTTATCATCTGGATCCATTGTGTTTCGATGACTTTATGGGACTTGATCACCAAACTGAACCGGTCACTGGTGATGTGTTACTGTGTTTCTTGAGCATGTTTCCTGAATCAATTTGCAGCATTCACTGGTGATATTCTCGTCCTGGGGCCGCCGATTTGGCCGTTCAAAATGACTTCGGATATCGCCAGACGCCAAAGAACAGTGCCATCAGCCAGGGCGTTTGAGTTTAATTGGAGAAGGCCGGTCCATTCTGTATTGCAAAATGGGGCTCTTTTTGATCGATTCGATGAGGTGAGTTTTCCCGATTTTCTTCCTTTAGAAGCAAAAAACGATAAGGTTATGCTCATTTTTTGTCCTGCCCCACTTAACCTCTGTCATTTACGCATATCCCCTAAGTATGCTTGCTTGACAATGTAGTGACTTACTCTGGAATAATCATTTTTATCTTCTATTATCCTCTCCAATTGATCATAGTCATTGCTTTTTCCTATTGCGTTTACTCATGGCACGTGTTCGCGCGGATCATCTCGTTTATTATGACCACCTAGGTCCCGGAATTGTACGACAGAACCTTAGCTAACGTGTGTGATGATGATGATGACGACAGAACCCGACCTGTACGTACTTACATCCTAAATTCACCGAGTTTCCAGCATATGCAGCATACCATTGGATAGGCTTCCTTTATTTCACTCAATCTTTTGCCTTTAAATATTTTTCTTACCAGGAAACTGGTACCCTTGAGCCGGATTGCTTCGTGCAAGTGGATCCAGACGGCTTTTTCATCTATTGGAAAACAGAAACTTCAGTAAGTGTTTTGTGCCTTGTTCATGGGACACCCACATCGCCTTTGCCCGAATGTTATTGAGTTCGTTTATTGTGCTCCCTCTTCCGAGTATATCATGAACCAACTACTTCCACTGGCCTGCGATTTTCTTGAACGCTGAGGACGCGTTTGCCTATTACTGAGATGCCACAATTTCATGTTTTAGTCACATGCCCGGTGGCCGAAAGAATTGCGCGCCTAGCTTGCAATCCTTAGGTCACCGGTTGGAATCCGCGTAGAGGCGGGCGTCCTCGCGGTATACTCAGCCCACGCTCATTAGGTGGAGATAGCAGGCCTCGAACCCACGACCATTGGAATAGTATAAACTATATATATATATATATATGTATATATATATATATATATATACTTTAATTTAGACGTAATATGTTTAAACTGGAACTGCAACCATCGTAGCTGTACCTGGTCCCGGCACGCGTAACTTTTTGCAGTGTTTGGGGCGAATATTTTACCTGGTATTTAGTACACCAACCATCACACTCGCCACGTATACACAAGCACTACAGGTTTATAGCAATTGGCGAATTTGTACTTTTTCGAAAAATAAGTACCACTATGTTTTGTGCGATGAAAACATGTGATACTTGGGGTTGGCAAAATCAAGTCTACCTAAGCTTTATGCAACCGTTTGGGCACACTTTCAGCACTCGGAGTTGCTGACAGTGTAGTTTGGCTACGTATTGCCATCTGGTCTGTCATATTTTGCAGAAAATTGTACTTGACTAGCTGACCGATCCTCTTTGCGAGTCCACTTGTTGATGGTCATTTCTAATCCTTTCTTTTCCAATTGATCATCTTTTCAGGACAGCCAATTACTGGAATTATCTCAAATCAGTGACGTCCGTGCTGGAAGCAAACCCAAAGTAAGACTGTTCCCCTCCTCTTGTCGTTACAACTCTTTGTATTTCAATGTCATCCATACTCAAATCCGTTACTACTGCTTCTGAGAGGTTTCTCCCCACATGCTGACTCGGATTCCTCCATTTTTGTAATTCGAGGAATTCTGAATGGCTTTGTCGTCGCATCTACTGAAGCACCAGATGTTCCTTTCCATTTGGCGCTGACGTACCGGTTGTCTCTCTTCCCGCTGCGCAGACCACACGCGTCTTTTGGGCAGCATCCTCTCCAGCGTCTGAAGGCAGCATTAGTTCACGACGAATTTACCTTGATCGTATCTGGATGTCAGCACTTCTGTTTGAAGGCGTCCTTTTCACATGCACCCAGATGCGCGTAAGGCAGCGGTGTTGCTATTCTGGCCACATCCATTCGGTAGACACGATCAGGCCAATTGTCGACCGGTGGCCAAAATGATTACGCGCTTGGCTTGTAGTCCGGAGGTCAACGGTCCGAATCCGCGTATATGCGGGGGACTTCTCGGTATATCGAGCCCTCACGCGACTGTAGGTCATCGCGTGGCACATGAGTTAGCTTCCGGAGCGTTCATGTTTCCCCTGGGCCCGGCCGAATAGTTTCTCTGGTCACATGTGTCCTCATCTTGGTGCGTCATCTTTGACCTGATGCTCGAGATGGGACAAATAAAATCCCTTGTGTGTTGGATTTTGCCACACCGAGCAAATTGGCCGTTATCCTAGCTAATACTAGCAATGCTGATGTATATTCTTTGTGTTCCGAGCTGCGTTCTTGCCAGCACGATTAGGTTTTGCAATGGAATTTCATGAAAACATCAACAGGATCATTTAAATCTAAGACTGAGAAGAGTCCTGCCATCAGAGATGCTTCTTCGGCCGAAAGTTCCAAGGAGTTTCCCGTATTCTGGTCGCATAACAAGGATTACTTACGCTGTTTGTGATAAGACACTCTTTATACTCCATTCCTTTTTTGTGAGGCGCGTTAGTTTCCCACCTGCATAGTATGCGGTACACTTCATGGCGTCTTGACAGGGTTCTGTGTATGGATCGAACCAAGTTTCCTTTTCCTTAGTGTAAGGGATGAAAAGCAATTGCATGAGGATAAGAGTGACGCACTTTCAAATGCATCAAGTGTAACATCTGGTTTGGACACATGTCTTACCGCACCTCAGCATATTCTAGATAAGGTGTAGTGAAAGATGGAGGTAACATGTGGTTGTAATTTCTTTCTTTTTCGGTTTAACACTTTTACCTGACAATCGAGACAATCAGATGGGATAAATGGAATGGAGCTGTTTGATGTTTGCATTACCCAACAATCTTTGTGACACCCAACCAGTTTTAACTACACATACTATATTACTGAATGTCGCTCATATGCTTCATGGGTTCACTACTCTTCTGCACTGCGTGTAGGTTTTGCGCACTTGCATCACTGCGGAATGGATTATCGCATTGCGAAGCATCGCGCTTTTTCGCCCTGAGCCCCTAGCATGGACCTCATCCCGCTACCTCTCACCGTGCACTTTACAGGCCATTGTGGCCCGACGCACCGCACTTCAAGACACCTTCCACACTGTCCACACCGTGGTGTATCGGCAGCTACGGTTTAGTATGGTATAATCAGCTACCTCTCCACACTGGAATGTGATTGATACTACGAGGTTCTGCTGGTAGATCCGATTACTAATTATCGTTAGTCGCAGTCGCTTGGAAGTCGGCTATCATTTTTGCCCCCAGGCACTTCGCAGTTCCCGTTTCTTGAGCTGTCTCTGTTTACCCCTTCACAACGTAGTTTGGGTTTCACTGACATCCACGTGTACTGTGTTGGCTAACTTGCATGGAGTCACAATTGATAGCCGACTTCAATCTAACCGCTGGCTTTGACGTTTACCTATGGCGCCAACCCATTGGATCTCAGGTAAAGTCAAATCGTTGCGACTGTTTTCCACATTTGGTTGTCAGTCAAGACAGAGCATGCATCAGCAGTACATTGATACGTGGTACCTACGTTTTGTTGCTACCTGACCTCTATCATTCGCGCTTGGACTAGAGTCGTCTGCATTTATGCAGACTCGAGTCGGTGACCTTTTGATTACCCGACCACCGGTTTCTTTTCTTTGCACCTTCTTCCTCTCAGTTCCACTCATTTGGACTAACCAACTGCGCTCCGAGTACTGAGGCCCTGTTTCATGATCTCCGTCGGTGACGCATTAGTGACTGGCAACAACGGAGGAACTCTACCAGGAAGTGTGATCACATGTAAACTATACGAAGGCAAAGTAATGAAGACAGGGCATGTGAACATTGTGCGGGTGGCGTAGTAGAATGCGCTGGGTCACTAGTGTTGACAATCCCTTGGATCCCATCCATCTGATCTGTGTCGAGAAATCGACGCTTCAGTTGCAAGCGGATTATTCAGCAATGACGAACGATCGGAACTAGCGACACATTTGCTCCGTAGAAACGTCTCTGCATATATTTTTAGGGTACTTTCACTAGCAAAGACGTTTTTGTACCGATCTGATCTATTGAACTCAGGGAACTCACCGTAGCATACCAACTTTCAGCCATTCAGCGAAGGTGCTTAGACGGACGACCACATGGTCGGTGTCCAATTACCGAATCTGATTCGCCTTCTATTGGTTATCTGGTTCGACTTCATGCTTACACCAAGGTTTCTTCATTCTTCATCGACTACTTGCTCTCTATCGCCACCAAACTAATCAAAGCGGGGTAAACTGTGCTTATCGAGACAGCCAGTCGACAGGAATTCGATGAATGCAGCCAACTTAGCTTTGGAATTTGATGTCTGTGTAAGGTTTGTTTTAGCTAAGCTGAGCGAGCTCAGCATTGGTAGCCTGGTGGCCCCACCTAGTACGAACGGTGCCTCATTAGAACCTGTGATCCAACATGACTTTTTCTCCAACCAATGATCATGTACGTCTAGCCCAGGGGTCACCAAACGTTTTCACAACGTGCCGGATAACTGACAAAATGACTAGTGCGGGTCACATGCTCATTCTGTATTGCTCGCGGAGCTCAACGACCTAGGGATTATGGTGATAGCTGTCAACCACGATGTTTGACGAGTTCCACTCCCAGCTCAGGCTATCACTACCGAATGAATGCAAGCAAGGACGTAATCCGGTATGGATTTTTGCACTGATGGGAAAGAGCAATACTGAATCCCTCCAATACTGCACAGTATTTGCAGGCCATTATGAAAACTGGGGAAAAAGACGAAAACGCGACACTCTGCGTCCTTTATCCTTTCTATCCATAACCGGAGTCGGAAAACGAAAAAAATTTGTCGAAATACAAGCATAATAAAAATTCTGTTGAAACATTAGAAATGCATAACACTAGGAGTCATTGCCGGAACTACGACTCACCAAAAATACACACGAAGTTCATAGGTACCTTCGATAGCAACGGATATACTACTACTAGTGCTATTAACAAGTCTGGCGAATAAACGGAACCAAACAAACTATGCAGCTCACTGGAAGAAGACATGTTTAAACACCGCATCATCATCATAACACATTGGCTGAACGTCAGCAACACACTACAGCTGCTGTGTCGCAAGAGGGAAGGAACTGTCACTTTTCACTCGTGAAGCATTACGCATTTGTATCTAGACAAATAAGATCTACTGGTTTCGATTGCGCTCCATATCTTGACTTGTTTCGAGCCATCTGCACTCCTCGTCCTTTGCTCCCCAACTAGGTAGACGTTTACATCCAACGGCAGCAATATATGAAGTCAGTGATTTAATATGATCTCGCCAGACTGGCCGTCGCGCTGTCTGTTCCATCTACTTCCTGCACGAACGAAAACGGCTCATTAGAACGGACGCCCAGCTGACTTGTGTAGGTTAATTGCTTGGAGGGTTTGAGCAAAACGTTTCCCTCGTATTCGAATCGACAGATAAGGCTTGAAATGTATGACGGTACTGGCTACCTACAATTAGGAATACCAAAGTGTTCTAACCTCAAAACTGTGTGCTTCCTGCAACATTGTGTATTAAAAGTTTGAACACATTCCAACTGAATGACACATATAGCTTCAAAATAGCATGTGTGCCAGTGAACGGCGTCTTAATGCGTCTCGTTCTATATGACGCGTGCATCAAGGAGCTGTCCGACCGCGAATTGCGGCACTGAGGTGCGAGGTACTCGGAAACACTATAGGGTCCAAAGATAAATGTTTCATGCATGATCACTCGCATCAACGTCCTAATGATGTGAGGCCACTAAAAGTACTCTAGAACGGTGTCACATGCAACAATCATGAGCTAGTGTTCAAAAACTCTAAGGTCACCGACAGTATAACTTTCAGTACCAAAAGTAAATTGTATCTCTATGTCTCGAGTTCCACATGCTTTATCATGCAACTGCGGGTGGAGCCGGCAGCCCGTAGTTTGGTGTACCCTGGTCTATACCTTAGACAATTGCATCCATAGCGCCTTCAAATTCTTCCTTAAGGTAATCATGTTCTTCCATAGATCTTTCATAATGGTCCTTAATGTTATCAAATTGCATCCAACGGACGCGAACGCTCATAAAAATGCGTACCGTTTCTTGAATGACCAATCCTAAATCAGCTGATATTATAACCAATTTATAAACACTTTGGGATGCTGTTGGCTGATTTAGAATTGGTCACTCAACGAGCAGTACGCGTTTTTAGAAGCGTTCGCGCCCGTTGGATACAGTTTGATAGCGTTAAGGACCATCTTGATAGATCTGTGGAGGAATATGATTTCTTTAGGCATTTGAAAGTGCTATGGATGCGAGTAGCTGAGAAGTGGTATAGTCAGTAGAGTACTTATCACCACACCTTTGCATTGTATAGATCTCTTGAACCATAGGTTGCTATCAGTCCTTCTTCGTTAGTCAATTAGATTATGAAATGTTGCGATAGTGATGCCAAAGCACACACAAATTCTTTTGGTGATTTGACTGCCAGTGGTACTTGAGTGGCTATTC